CGACACAATCCTATGTTCTTGGAGCAGAAGCTAACCACAACTCATCCGTTGATTCTTCAACATCAGTCGGTTTTTTCTGGTCCAAGTGTATCTTGTCTTTACCACGAACAAATTTTGTATGATTTAAGTCTAGACCATTTAAGCATTTCAGTTCACATACAATTAGCAGGAATATCATTCTTCACAATATTGCTAACAACGGATGTAGAGGAGAAATTGGTAATCATAGGTCAGCGAAACAGGGCTGTAACAGCGGCATAACAGAAGCACCGGAAAGAGCAATCAACAAGGGGCATAACAAGATTGCCATACTTGGATGAAAATTGTTTCAGGGAAGCACGATTGATTAAATCCAAAATCTCCAAACAAACTTGTAATAAATGACAGTATCCCTATTTGCAGATATTTCCATAGACAGTAAACAAGTAAACCTAGTTCAACATTCGAAGCGAGCTTGGGCTTTTGGTTTTGAACAGTGTGAAGCATAACCAAGGCCTTACCAGTTGTGTTTCTTGTTGTCTAAATACTGGTCTGTATAAATGTCTCATCATCATCATCATCATCATCATCCTTATCTGATCTAAAATGATACTCCCTCGTCCAAAATAAATGTCTACAATTAAAATGGCAAACGGCATTTAGAACTGTGTAATTGTTACAGAATTTTAATTAATTAAATAATACTTTTCCCTGAATAATAGAGAGTTTTTTGTATTTCATAATTAAGAACAAAATGAGAAAGTGGACGCTAATTTTCACCATCATCACTACGTTAACGTATGTCGTATTAGACGTCTTCTCTAAATCGAAGTGATGAAGGTAAAACTCCATCACCCTCATGTTTCTTCTACCATAATCCTCAATTGTCTTCTATCAACATCACATTTAATCACTCTAAGCCATTTTATACAATATTTTCATGAACACACAAATATAACCATCTAGCGTATAATGTAACGATATATTTTACCATATTCAGATATATATGCACCACAAGGAGTCATTTAATTGTATCAAATAGAATATCATTAATGATTACTATTTTAACTTCTCATCCCCTATTGCCCCCAACCAAACACCTCTTAGATTAATCAGATTTTCAAATAGAGTAACGCCTATGCATCAAAATGTATAACAAATATTCAAAATACCGAGTTTTAAAACCCCAACACCATCTCCAACAATTTGTATTAAAATGGTGTTAAATGTATTACAGATAATGTTATTTTAGAATAAGTAGAAATGGAATATAAAGTATGTTATGTCTTATTTATATGTCAAATCTTATTTTTTTATGTTTTATTTTTGTAATCATATAATTATTTAGAAAAATAATAATAAATATTTATTTATTTTCAAATAAAAGTTTAAAAATAAAAGAATAAAAAAACCAAAAAACCTCAACGTATCTGATGCAATGTTTATTAATAACTTATATAATATAAATAAATAAATATGTTTATTAATAATTTATATAATACTAGTTGTGTATCCGCGCAATGCGGCGGGAGCCATGAATTTTAACGATTTTGAAGTTCCACTGGTTTTATAAAATAAGATTTATCGATGATAAAAGTTACACTTGGTCTTTACATATTAATACAATTTGAGTAAATAAGAGTTATGGTTCCAATTACAGACTATCGATGAAAAAAATTGTATGACAGTTTAAAAATCCAACATATTTAAACGACTCCACAAATGTCTTCGATTTACACCAAGAGCAAAGAAACAAGAAACTTGAGTTTTAAGATAAACACTTAAAACCAATAAAGAAAACTACAAATTTGACAGGTCATAAGCCATGAAAAGACCAAAAAAGATGAGTTTTAGAATAATGGTGTAACTTGTTAAAATAAAAATGTATTTTTTAAACATGTTTTAATTGATATACGATTATGTATGTTAATTTGATAAAAGTTTAAAATGAAATATTTAAAAGTAAAAATCGTAAAGTAAAATAATTAACTTATTATAAGGAGACACATCTCGATTTTAATGTTCTATACGATTATTTATTAGTTGTTTACGAATTTAACCAATGAAATTTGTTGTTAGAATGACATTATAAATTATTTTCTCGTATTGCAATATATATATATATATATAT